ACACTAGACTAAATACAGGTAGTCCTTGGGTTACAACGGCAATTAGGACCAGGATTTCTGTTGCTGAGTGATGCAGTTGTAAAGCATGACATCATGTCACCACATCACTTAGCGATGGAAGTCCCAGCAGCCCTGGTTGCTGTCGTAACCCCAGGACTTCACAGATCATTAAGTGAGGACCTCATGGTCATGACATGGGAAGAGGCAGAAGTCCCAGGGAAGCAGGCCGGTGGGTGAGAGCTATGGGCTGGGGGTGTGCGACGGGTGGGCACTAGGTAGCACAGGGCTTGCCGTGGCATAGGGCTTGAGGCAGCACTCCTCAGCGGCAGTCTCAACCCATTAGTGCTGCTCCTGGGCCTCTACTTCAGGCCCGGCACCTGCCGGTCTCAAGTCCCAGCAGCGCCAGCTAGCCTCAAGCCCTGGTGCCATGGCAAGTCCCACGTTGCCTCAACCCCCGCGCTTCTTAACACTGACCTGCAGCATCTGCCACCCCACCCATAGCTCTCACCTGCCAGCTTGCTTGCCTGGGACTCCTGCCTCTTCCCAGGCAAAGAAGACAATGAAGGTCAGCTGGGGGTGGCAGAGGGGTGGTTATAAATGCAGGCAGGTTACATGACTGCAGGCAATGCAATGGCCAGAACCTCAAGGACTAGTCATAAGTCCATTTTTTCAGAACTGTTGTAACTTTGAATAGTTGCTGAACAAATGGACGTAACTCGAGGACTACCCGTAGGCTCTTTTCCTGATTCAGCAAGGTCTTTCTTTAGTATTTTATCAGTACCCATACCCTGAAGAAAAGAAAAACTTAATATTCTTTCTCCTGTGACCTCATTACATTACCAGATATACCCCAGCTGCCGTGAAGAGCCTGGGGAGGTGTGTCCCTGTTGAAAAAAAATTGTCCACAAACTTAGATATTACACACAGAATATTCAGTACAGATCTGCTTTTTAAACAAATACAGTCTTGCTTTTTGCAAATGCATTGCTTTTTGTGAAAAACATAATTTATCGAGAATAATGTCTTTTTACAAGGATATGGAAATACTGTGGCTAGAAGCTAGTTCTGTGGGGAAATGGAGTGATCCAGCTTTTTCTACTTGATTAATCTTTGATAAGCATATTTTCTGTGCTTCTAAGACATGAAAAATCCTGAGCTCTTATGTATCATTTAATTCTGCCCCATAACTAAGAATGTCTTGACCCTTAAGACAAAAATCCTGTAAGAATCTCTAACTGGCCTTTTTATTTTTCCCCAAGAATGTCTGTACTGCTCTGCTAATTACAGCCTTCACATCTCTTTCCTGGAAGGATACCTTGTCCTGTCAAAGAACTACCACACAACTCTGCTGGCCATTGCTCAAACAGGTACCTCCATACTGAGCTTAGCAGGGTACAGTGTGATGAACCTGAAGAAGATAAAAGTGAATAGTTCTTTGTATACAGCAAGATATGGGTAAATACTGAAATTTTGGAAAATAGTCTCTTCCGCCCATCTTGTTTCACTTGAATTTCTCTGCCATAGGTGCTCACAAAGAATTTGATGATCCCTGAAGCAGTGATCTGGTTTTTCACAAGTGTACTGAAAGGATTACAGGTTCATGGGCAACATGATGGCTGTATGGCAGCACTTGTCCACTTGGCTTTCCAGATCTATGAAGCTTTGGTAAGAAATGTGGGAGAAAATCCAATCCCAGATCTGCTGCCATCTTTGTGGATTAGTGCCAGTCCATATCCAAAGCCCATTTCTGTGGGAGGCAAAGTTCTGGGTGTGTCAGTAGTTGTTAATTCCCTTTTTGGAAATAGCCATTTCTGTTCTGGCAAAGCTCCTGCTGATTCTTCTCTGTTATTTGAAGCGTCCACGCTATGCTGAGTTGAAAACAGTGATGGAACAAGTCCCAGAAATCCAGAAAGATTCCCTGGAGCAGTTTGATTCCAAACTACTGAACCTAACGCTTCAGAAGGTGGCAGACAAACGCCGGAAGGACCATTTCAAACGCCTGATTGCAGGCTGCATAGGGGTAAGACATGGTATCAAGCAGCAGAGAAAAAGCCTTGTCTCCCAGAAGGGTAAAACACTATTTTTTTCTTCCCGTCTGCTGACTTCAACCAGTATCAGACCTTACCTTTTCAGTAGTGACCCACATTATACAAATCTTAAGTTATGATGGTAGAAACATTTTGTGCTTCCAGAGATCTAAGTGGGTAGCCTTTACAATTCTATGATTCCATGTGTTCCCCTGAATTTAGCACATGTTATCTTTCCCAGGCCATCAGTGGCTAATTGTCTACTCCCTGCTTAATTGCTAGAATATAGCATTTGATTCTTTGTTTCTGGCTTTGACCAACTTGACTGTCATCTAAGTCAGCTTTTGCACATGCTGAACAAACTGAGGTGCAGGAACAAGGTGCAGCCCCACAACACCATGGGTGGGGGGGAATTCTACAATTTTAGCAGAGGCTGTTCTGTTGAAATACTTCTAAGTGTGGCTTGCCTATTCTAGTTTCTTGTTTCCTTACAGAAGCCCCTAGGAGAGCAATTTAGGAAAGAAGTCCACATCAGAAACCTCCCATCTCTTTTCAAGAAGGTAAAAGCACCCCTAGACCAAGATGTTTTTGAGAACAATGAAGATGAAATCCTCATTGCACTCTTCGAGCCATAAGCTAAGGACAGTTCCACTACCCTTTTCCTTCTTTATACTCTGTGTTGTTTCACAGTAGCCATATTTCCTTTGTTTATTCTTTTCCTGGGCCCAGATATAGTTCTCACTGGCCTCATTCTCCCTTTTTTTGGGGGGGAGATGGAATTTCCTAGTTCCACTTGCAGCTTTACTGAATAACTTTTTCTTGTTACTGTTGGATGGAATTTGCTCGTGCATTCCAGCCCAACTGTCATTTGGCCAGTTCTTTAGGGACAAATCTTCATGCATGCAAACAGTACTTGGCCAGGGAAGGGAGAAGGTTCTGGAGCCTCCCACTCTCTCTGCCACTTCTCCTTCAGGACACCTGGATTGTTGCTGCCTCAACATGACACTAATAGAGGACTCCTGCTTCCCTGTTGGAAAGACACAGCTTGGGTGAAGTAACGCAGGTGTGCACATTAGGTGTTGCTGAATCACTAAGTTTCACTGACTTGAAGAAGTTATATTTCTTTTGAGAAGTAGCTCTTGGCCATATGTTCCACCAAACCAAGCACTATGGAGAAACTGGGAGTGAAAACTTCATTTTTTTTTTTTTAGTTCAACCAAGCCTCAGGAAGCCCCAAATTACACATCCCCTTCTTTGCCCTAGAAACATTGTTGAAACAGGTATTCTAGCTCCAAATCAGTCCTCAGCTGTCAAAAGTCAGAATTTTCTAAACAAAAGGAAGTTCAGAACTATTTTATACTGGTCTAAAATACCTTAAAATAACTTAAGCTGAAATGCTGCCCTTGAATGTAGAGCAGCACTGTTCTTGACAATTTTGTTCAGTCTATGATGGTACAAAATGCCTCCAGGCCAGGTCTTAAAAGAAAAGTTTGAGTGAGCGAGCGATAGAATGTTGGCGTAAATTTGCCAGATTTTAATTTTCAGTCGGAAGAATTAGTATCCGCTAGAAGGTCTTTCCTTAGTGACTGCTGTAATAGCTTGACTACAGATACAACAGAATGTTTTTTTCAACTAAGTGGCTTAGTAGTATACACATCTGGTTACATGGACAAGAAAACAGGTCTTAATATTGGTATTCAGATCCTCACTAGTAGCCAGACTCCACTCTCACTTGTTTCCCCTATAATCTTGATCTCAGTGTAGCTTTTATTTAAACAAAATTCCCCTGCTAAATAGCTTTGGAATCTAGCCTAACTGTATTTATTGTGTCTTCATTACATTTTAACTTACTGTGCCCGTAATAGAAACATTTAAAAACAACTGAGGGGTTTTTTGTAGGGATGTTGTATCTGAAGATGTCTCCAAATCAATGTCAGTAAAAGTATCTCTGTTTTATACAAACATTGCTGTTCCGGCTCTGCATTGATTCTTTCCATGCCTTCTTTGAACATCACCACCACCACTGTTGCTCTCTGGGTCAAACACTGCAAAATGAGAATTTCAGCTAACTGCATACTTAATGCAAGGTATACTACCCTGACTGAAGCACTCTTCTTCAACACATTAAAGCAGCTGCATCCTTTGGAAGGCTCAGTCAACTACTTCAAAAGATGGATCTGATTGTGCATGCACAAATATTTTCACTGAGACCATCAGCAAACTTTACACAGGTGTAAGTGAGCAGAGACTTCAAAGCAGCGGTACAAAGCTTGCAGCTGCTTTAATGCTTCAAGAAGTACTTTGCTTGTGCTTTGTGAAGCAGCTTTTCTGTGAATGCTTACCTTGCCTTATTGAATATAGTCAAAGACATCAATTTAAATTTGGGGTAAAAATTATGCATTGTTGTCAAAGTTGGGCAACTCCAGTTTTTCGAGAGCTGGCTAGCAGGGCTGTTCAACAGGTTAAAAATAAATTTTCTGATGACAAAATAGCGCAAGGAACTAGAGCAATCAGCGTCCTGTGCCTTCTACTTTTTCCATAATGTTAGATGCTACAAGAGGCTATATGCTTAGCTCACATACCTGAAGCACTTATACATAACAATATTCATATATCAAGGGAAAAATGCCTGTTTCTTACAGCTTAATTTTTCTTATTTAACAATTTTATCAACAGGCATTTTCTCTCCTGTTTCAATTTAGAAATTCTCTTTCAATGAATGATGGATTAAACAGAGGAAAAATATTCAGGTTTTGCCAGAAGCTGGCTGAAACTTACTTCTTGAACTCTGAAAACAGTTGGAATCCCAAGAAAATACTTAGGGTACGAGGAATATTCAAAATGTCTCTCCCTACTTTGAAGAGAGAAATGTGTCCCAGTAACTAAAAACTAACCTTTTAAAATGAATGTACTGAAAGAACATTATCAATAAATATTTTAGACCAGCATATAAATGTATAAACATACTAAATAATGCTAGTTAACAGGATTTAAATTCCCGCTGGAATCAAGTGTTTTCATGGATATTGAAGCAGAGAACGGTGCAGCAGCTCAGGCACAGACAAACACTGAGTTGGTATTTTTTGCTGACTGGTAGGAATGATGGGCATCAGAATAACAACTGTGTGCTAGATCTTGAAACTGAGTCAACAGTACACCGTACCAGATCAGTGAAAAGGTACTATGCAATAGGTGATCCACTACGCAGAGGTAGGACTTCCACAACACTGTGATAGTCTTTAATGGAAACTAAGAGCAGCACAGGCAGTTGCGCAGTTCATTCTAGCAATCTCCATGTGCGCATGCTTGCAAAACGTTATCAAAGGATGACATTTATCCACCACCATCAGACTACAAATGGTACACAGGGCACTGCATTATACTTCTGAATTTCAGTTTTGTCTAAGATGTGTAACTAACAATAGCACAATGCAGCAACTACTATTATTCTCTGACATCTCTTGGAAAGGTAGTCATATTCTTACAGACTGATACAATCTTGATTGAAATTATTCCTCTTCAGGCATAGAGATTTTGATAATGGTATTTCCCTACAAGAGTCTTTGTGTTCCTAAGCTTATTTCTTCTGGATGGATTTTAGCTCCTCTAAGAAGCGCTGGCATTTTCCCATTAGTACCTTGATTGCTTCGCTCACCAGCACATCTGGAGGCAAGATGCCTGTTGATTCTACAGAGACTGGAGGGGAAAAAAAGGCTCCTATCAGGTCTCAGTCTGAACTATCATAAACCATAAGCACAAGGCATCTTTCACTTAAGGAGCAGAGATACCTTACTGTTAAACAATACAATTCATACTAGGCACCAAAATATAGTGGCGCTTAAAAGTTTGTGAACCCTTTTGAATTTTCAATATTTCTGCATAAATGTGACCTAAAAG